TGAAAACCGCAGTATAGCCCAAGAGCAACTATATTGAAAACCGCAGTATAGCCCAAGAACTATATCACAGTACAGACCAAGAACTATGCTAAAAACTGCAGTATAGTCTAAGAACGTTAGAATGTTAAAGTCTATACTAACAACATTAATGAAACACAGACGACATACCTTTCTTCTTCTTCCTCTTTTTCTTAACCACTTCTTGCCTGTGTAAACACGCGATATTTCAGCACCAGTGCAGGTTTCCAGAACGGCTCCCAAATAAACGGGAATGTAGATGTCCCTTACCCCTCCTCCTTGGCTACATTTTCACCCGTCACTTTGGCCGGCTTCTTTCTGACGTACGTGGCCCCGTGCGAGTTCTCCAGCTCGTCCACATCCACTTTGAACGACATGGTGTCGGGGGACGGAAGGTGCTTGCTCAGACTGAGTGAAAGGGGTTAAGGGATTCTCGATCGTAATTGGTGGGAAAATATCATGTGACAATGTCAGGTGTCATCCTCAAAGCTCTAAGTATTCCTTCAGCTTTCTGCTCCCAGAGCAGACAATGTTACAAAGCAGTAGAAACATACTCCATACAGTTTGTGCCATACATGATCTTATTCAGAGGGGAACGCAACGGAAGACAGCAAAGGATGCGATTTTGCCTTTTCTTGATCAACCAAAGAATAGGCAGAGATAAGCTGAGCCAGGTTGTGGATGTCTTTTTTGTTCTGTCTGTAGAGAAAGAAAAAAAGTCAAAATTTAAGCTGAAGTTGCTCCACAGTAACCCAATGAACAACAATTAGCCATAAAAGGTAATAACCCCCCTAATCCCACAGAATAAATGGACCAGCGTAGCAGGCAGGGTAGAATGTCATGCTGACAAACAGGGACTTACTTCCACAGCTGCTCCAGGTCGCTAATGGCTTCTTTCTTCCTTCCGTACCTCAGCTTGAAATTAGCAGCTTCGCGGACCAGAGACAAGTGAGCAGATGAGCCCGGCTGGGGTGCAGGAGGGTTAGGATTCGGGTTAAACTTTAGCCATCAAATCAGCGTCACATTTACACTACTGTGAGAATCCTCAGGCCCATTAACGTCTCTCCCAGCACACCTGTGTTCTCTGGTAGTACTGAATAGCTTGGCTTAAGACGTCAATAGCACTGTCGATGTCTTCTTCGTGGCTGTACATCGTAACCAAAGCAGAGATCTGTAACAATTGAAATACCGAACTAAAAACACTGTATTGATTGTATGATTGGCAGAATCAACAATGGATATCAATAAAAAATGAAAAAATAAATAGTAATAGATAAGTAAATACACATACGTCAATCAATTAATACTTACCATTCCTGGCTTGTATCTAAAGTCTTCTATTGACCTCAGAATGTCACACGCCTTTGTAACATGACCTAAACAAACAGATGGTTTATTCTTAACTGCTTTAAACAGATTCTTATACCATTAGTTTACTTTGAGTCACCTAAGCGAAGTGTTTTAAGGCTAATGTTAGTTCTCAAGTTCTACATTTGATTTCCACGGCTCTCATGTCACCAGTGGTGATCCTACCATAAGGGTCACAATCTTACATAGCGAGAATGAAAAAGCAGAGGATCACAGGTACCTTGAGTCAGGTATAGCTGTGCCATGGTCAGTTTGATTCCAGACGCACTCTTAGGGTGCTTCTCTGAGAATTGCTGTAGCAAATGTTAAAAAAATGTCAGCAAAAGCAGTTGACAGACGGTTACCCAGAGGCCACCCTGATATGAAGAGAGAGTGAGGCTAGGTGAACTCTGAACAGGACAGCAATCCATCACAGGACACACAAGCAAACAAACACTCCCACAGTCTGCCACCGGGGGCATTGCTGAGTCATTAATTCATCCAAGCTGTGTTTTTAGTCTGCAGAATTCCCATCACAGCTGGAGCTGGACAATACTGCCAGCCTGATCCAAGGCTATTATGTACCTGCCTACACAGTGCAATGTAAGAGAAGGCCGTATACCCAGAAAATAGAATAACTGGGAATTGGAAGGCATCAGTGATGTTGGGACCCCTTGTGCGTTTCACAGAGGAATGTAAGCGTCAGTACCTGGAGCAGCTCTATGGCTTTGGAGTGCTGCTTCTCTCTACACAGCTGGGCCACCTGGATCAGCACCGGCCGCGGGTGGCCCGGGTTCTGTGACTGGAGGCTGGAAGCCAGCTTTCGACACTGGTCCGCCTGTGGGGGAAACGGGAAACAGAAAGCGGACAGGATGAGGGACTTGTGAAGCTTTTCCATTGGCGTACAGGAACCGAGCCGTACCCGAGCCGTACTCCGAAGAGAGACTAGTTACAGTGCGGTTCCGGCTCACTTTGGTTTTCCACTGCAGAAGGGCTGGCTCGGTAAAGGCGTTGCCGGGTTTGGGGAGCGACAGTGACGTAAAATGAAGAGACGCTCATTTGTTGTTTGCAGGGTGAATATCATGATTTACGATGTGCAAATCCGCTCTAGCATAATTGCGAGAATCGCCGTCTTATGTTAGCATCAAACGCTAATGGAATTAGCATTCCTCTGCATACATTTGCATTAAGAAACCATTCCATTTAGCTATTGTATAGTACTCTAATTGGTCAGATAAATGGCTGCCTAATAAGGCCATATCAGCACGGGTACAGCTTAGTTCTTGCTGACAATGGAAAAGCCCCATTAGAGGCGCTGGGGAGAAAAGCTTGGCTGAGTCTCAATATGTTTACTTGACCATACTTGTGTTCCCATGTACGCATTTTACACCATCTTCCATTGCCGAAGACCAGTAGCAAAACTAAGCAATACAAGTACATGAGGATGGTAAAAATCCCCGGATGCCGGTCTTGCTCTTTTCCAAATATCAAGGGTACATCGGTTGCATCCTTGCCAAACGAGACCAATCCCATGATTCACTGCGTCCCAAGTTCATTCTTGGATGGCAAGTTAGCAAGAACGCTCTTGCCAAGACCACAAGTATGATCTTTGTGTTCTTGCTATTGAGATTCGCCCCCCCACCCGTTTGAGGCCAGATGGGAGACAGTTACTCACAACAGTATGATCAGTATGATAATGTGTTTCAAGATGACCAATCAAGATAATACAGAGCTGTTAAATTGTGGCTTACGTTTGCTTACATTACAATTATTTAACAGAAGCTTTTCTCCAAAGCGACATGCAAGTGAGAATCTGAAAGCATGGTCAGACAGTCCCTGAAGAAAACAAGGCCTTGCTCAAGGGACCAACATTGAAATCACTCAGCCTTACACTGGATTTGAACCAGCAACCTTCTGGTCACAGAATTGAATCCAGTGTGTGGGCAAGGAGTACCTGGTTAGTGTACATGGCCAGCAAGGCTTTGTTGAACTCGATTGCTTGTAGCTGTGTCTTGGCCAGTTTGTGCTCCACACCCTCGGCGTTGGTCAGCTTCACCTTCTTCTTGGAATCAAACACATTCTGGTCCTGGAACCATCAAAAGGGTGGTTGTCCCAAGATTTAGCAGAGCCCAGGTTTAGTGCTGCGGGTCCACGGACAGCACAGGTGTCTGACACCCATCACGCAGAATGGGGAGCCCGGAGCACAGCACGTTCCTGCTCACCTTATTTATTGTGATGATGTTGTTGGCCGTCACTGCCAATAATCCCACGTCTGACGGCCTGCCAGCAAAAACAAAGACAGATGCTGCAGAATGCGATCCGCTTTCTAGTAGTGCGTCCTACTGCACACAGTCCAGTAAACTAACCAGCAAATTAACGCAGTCTTTAAGCACTTGAAACAAACTCTCCTGGGCTTTGGACCCTAGAGCCTAACCCAGGAAACAAGACTGAATTCTACAATAATCATACAGATTCAAGTACTGTTAGTAACATACAATAATTAACATGACAGAGTGTTAAGCAAAAAGTTAAGCAAAAGTGCTAACTTGTCATTTACAACTTTAAAGGTGTATGCCGGCTCGTTATGTATTTCACTGGTCAGCACACTAATTCTGAGGTGGATTCGCCAATTAACGCCTGAAGGTCACCCCCCCCCCAAGTTTGTCCACTCTGTCCTTGTGCCACAGATGGAGACGCACTTTAACTTGATGACTTGATTGTAGAGCTGCAGGGCGTCCTCAATCCGTCCCTCCAGCTGCATGATGTAGGCCATCTGCGAGTGGATGACGGCCAGCTCCAAGTCAATGTCCTCCTCTGTCATGTCCTGAGCGACGACACGAGACAGAATAAGAACACATTCATATCTGCTGGCCCCATCAAAGTGTAATTATAGAACCATCAACTGCTGACATCCTTTCTGAAGATAGTGCTTGATTCAGAATTAAAATAAATGTAGAAATTTGCTTCGTAATTTGATAACTATACAGATTGGTAATTTAATTTGAAGGATATGTTGGTGTCATTATGATTTGCTTTGCCACGTGAATCATGGGATATCAGGGGTTTGCTAAATGAGAGAAAGAGAAGGACTTACAGAATCCTCTGACAAAGACACCCGACAAAGCTCTGAAACAAGTAACAATAACCTGATCAGCATAATGAAGAAGCCCAGCAAGAACATATTAGATAAGAACAGAATCGTCCCCAGGGGACCCTTACCCTCTGCTTTTCTCAGTTTCTTCATGGCTTCCTCGAGACGGTTTTGGCCAATCAGAGTGCAGGCAGAGTTGTAGCACAGCTCATAAGTGATCTCCGACAGCCCGAGGTCCTCCTGAAAAAGCAGCAGCCCCGCTCAAGTGATTTCTTTCTTCTTTTAATAGATACGTTATATCTAACAAATCTTAACACATCACATTGTTAGTGAATCCCAGTGAAACAGGAATAAATCAAATGCAGCTTGAAGTCATATTTGCATTTATGTAAATATGTTATGAAGGCCTCTCTTGTTTCTAAAAATAGTACAAATGCGCATTGACTATTTAGTACAGTGCTGAGCTAAAAGAGCTCTTCGATTCTTGAACAGAGCTAAATAGTGCCATTTTATATGCCTTTTCTCCTTCCACCAAAAAAGATAAATAGACTTGTCTCATTGGTGGCAGCAGTGGGTATAAGGGGTGCTGTCTTCTGTTGCCATGTTGGAGCACAGAAGCAAAGAAGAATT